TCAATGGGGACATTAAACAATACCTAACACTACCCTGGTGATCACCATCAACAAGTTTAGCAAGCACTGATATAAAGCCTTCACAGAAGTTTCAATAAAGACATTTCAATGGAAAAAAAACCTATTTATTACAAATAAAAGTCAGGATATTTACATTTGAAGGGGGTAAGAGTCAGCTCGAGTCAAAGTTAACTTTAACAAGAAAATCGCGACCAGTTTGGTGGCTTCAAAGCTTGGGTCTTCTTGGAAACTGCAAATTAACATTTTTAGCGCCTTTGACCAACGTGTTTCCATAACTATACACAAAAATGTGTTTTTAATTAGGCATAAAAAGTGTTGAGCACCCCCTCCCCCCTTTATAAAATAAAATAAAAATCAATAAAAATTGCCCAAAGGGCATAATCATGCTGCTTTCTTTGATTTAATTTTTTTGATGAAGGCCTGATTTCACAGACAGACAGTTAATCTTACATAGTATTATATGTATTACGTAAATACATCTACGCATATGATATTTTACTAAGTATTGTACATGTATATAATAGTAGAAAATCAAATCGTGAGGAGTCCATGACAGGAGACCCGGGGAAAAGGAAGTAGGTTGGAGGTCAGAAGAAGTAGGGGGCGGGAGTGGGGTGGAGGTGGGGAAAGAAAAGTTCAAAAACTTGAGTCCCTTGGCCTCCTATCCGCGCGCCCTTGAGCATGGCAGTCGGACCGGCGGGACTGAGCACAGCGAGTGCATTGATTACCTCAGCCCTAGACAATGGCGGCCGTCACGAGGAGGTAAATCATTGATGGAAATACCCGGGTCAGCGGCGTCACTGAGACAAACAGAGGGAGGGCTTGAGTGGGGAGCTGGGCGGGGTATTTAAGGATAGAAGAAAAGAGAGAATAAAATGGCAGAATGGGAGTGAGTGAGAGATAAATAGAGAAGAAAAGAGAAGAGAAGAGAAGAGAGCGGGGAAAGAGAAAGCGAGGGATGGGGGAGAGATAGAAGGAGGAAGGCAGGGAAAGAGAGAAGTGTTTGTTTGGTAAGTGTTTTACGGCGCTCGCAACTGCATAAGGTCATATTACTATACTATGAGCGCGCGGGACACACCTAACATTTTTAGTTGGTAGGAAATTTTGAATTTTGCCCAGGTGGACCACCGAGGGATCTTTAACGTGCACAACTTGCACACGAGACCTCCGAGATTTTTTGCCCGTGTCCCAGAAGGCTAGGTGCAGATCTTTCCTACCAGAAGATCAGGGGAGTGGATGAAAGACAGCAGTAAGAAGGAGCCAAGGTGAAGTAGTGGAAAGGCTGCAGAAAGAGTCAGGAGCCTAAAGGAGGGGGCAAACGAGGTGAGGGGTGG